CGCGCCCGCCCGGCCGGGTCTGCCCTGCGGGAGAGGCGCCGCCTCCGCCGCGAAGCCAGGCCTGGGGCTGGAGGGAGGCGACCGACCACCGCCTCCCCCGCGCACTTCGCAGGCTGGGGGGTGGGGTGCAGGCCAATGGGCGCCCGGGGGAGGGGTTAGGCCGGGGGTGGGAGGGTGAGAGCGGGGTAGGGAGGCCTCGCGGCAGACAAGAGCAGCAACTGAGGCACGGAGACCCTGGGGGCGAGGATGCGGAGGCGACCACCCCCCTCTGTCGCCGGGCTTCCGGGGCTCAGAGTCGGGCCTTCTCCGGGGCTCACTGCCCTCCTTTGCACCTTCCCCAAGATACCCAGAGCGAGAAAGCCCTCTTCCTTCTCCCTCCCACGTCCTCTTGATTCCCTCTCTGTAGAGCCTGTTCTTCCTCCTCCCAGAAGCCTTCCTTACCGGGCAAGTCCTAGACTCTCTTCGGGTTCTCCTTTGCCCCCACAGCCTGGTCCTGGGAAGGTCAGCTAGCTTTGGGGTGCTGCCTGGATGTCCTCGGTCGTGATCTCCTGGAGAACGCCTCTATGGCCAGAAAAGGGTTGTGGGGGAAGGCTTACAGCAACTTAAAATGATGCTGCTCTGGAGTCAGGCTGTCTGGGCTCCAGTCCTGGCTGTGCCAGGGCGAACTCTGTGAACTCAGGCAGGTGGCTTGACCTCTCTGAACCTCGGCTTCTTCTCCCTACACCCACCCCTCCCTCTTGACAGCAGCATTAAATAAGAATGGACCACACACCCCGTGGTAGGTTTTCACTGATGAATAAATTACTATTGCTTCTGTTATTGTGGTCCTGCTGAACCTCCTAGTACAGATGGGTAAATTGAGGCTTAATGAGGGAAACTAAACAGGTCACCGTCAGTAGCCCGTCAGCGGCGGAGCCAAAGCCTAGCTGAGAACAGTTAGTTACCCTCTGCCCACCCCCACCCGCCATCCCACTGCTCCTGCCTGCCCCTGCTCTCACTGTCTGGTCACTACCCGGAGCATCAGTATCCCAAGAGCTCCCTCCGTGTCCCCATCCACAGGTCTACAACCAGGTTCTGTCCTTCCCCACTCAAGTAAATTATTGTCCAGCCTCCCTGTGGGCCCAAGTCTTGGGTGTGGCCACCTTGTTGGGGAAGCCTCAAGGAGGAAGGGGAGGAGGAGGGAGGAGAAAGAGACTTGAGCCTTTCCTTGGCGATTCCAGGCCAACTGAGGAGAGAGGACTGGAGGGTGGAGCGGGAGTCCATAATGGAAACTTGAAGGAAGTA